GCAAACGCTAAACACAAAAGAACATGAGAGTGATGCAATTATCACTGTGACGTGAATTCCGATCATGAAAGGGCAGTGGGGAGAGATGAAATAAATGTGCCCAGGGTGAGGGGATGAGGCATGGGTGGTGGGTGGGGGAGAAGATGATCAGCTGGGGAAAGACTTGACTCTGCATGAGAAAATGAGTAGGTTGCAGAAGGGTAAGGAAGAATAGGGTGATAGGTGCCTGTCAAGCAGAAGGAGAGAGGAATGGGCAACAGTAATGAATAGATATCAAACAGGATATTGTAAAATGTGTTTATCTGGAAGGAAGTTACTCTACCACTGAGCAGGGGCTGCTGCTAGAACCCTGACATATTAGAAGCTTCAGATTTTAGAGACACTGAATTCTCCAAAACTGACCTATGTCAAAATGCTCTTCCACAAAGGTGAAATTTGCCATAACCACACTTTTATTTAAAACTCTTTCTCTTAAATAAATGTACGTGCACATATTTAATACATTAACTGTTCTTAATTACAAACTTGACTGAATTTCCCACTGCCATTTGATCACTTGCTGTTACGAAAGTGTCCCCGTGGGTATTTTCTTTTACTTGGGTTTTAAAATAAGCTAGAGAGTCTTAATACCAAATTATTCTCTTTAAAGGAATTGGGATAATGGAATTATTAACATGTATTGAGCATTTCATCTGTCAAAGCACTTATCTGCTTTACCTCATTCAGTTCTTACAACAACCCTACCATCACTCAGCCTCATGACCACATTCTTGTCCTCATCTGCACAGTCTGGCCCCGGACCATGGCAAGCAGAACTTCTCTGTGGCTCTGATCCCTGTCAATGTCCCAGGTCAGATGCATGAAAAGTATTGCTCAAAGAAGTCACTGTTATAGCCTCTCAGCATGAAGGACTGCTCGTTCTGGTACAACCACCTTCATTGACTGCCGAGCCTTTAATCAATCAACAATTATTTATCAGGCTCCTACTTACTGTTCAGCAAAGTCCTGTCTGGCTTCTGCAGACAGGAACATTTCTAGATATGGCACATGAAGTTGGATCAATCAGAAACCTTGAGCCAGTCCTTAAGGGTCAAAGGGTTTGTATAGCTGTCATTTTAGGACATTTTAAGGCTGTTATTAAATAACAGCTTTATTTAAGCTGTTAAGGCTTAAATAAAGCCTTAACAGCAAGGTAGAGGATAATGAGAAGGTACTGGAATAGATTAAGAAATCAAGAAATATAAAATTAGAAAATAATATGTAAATTTTCCTTTAAATTATCAAATGAGAAACCTTTGCAACCAGAACGAAGTCTACTCTTACAATGTCATATAAAATTTGTTCAATTAGTAAACTATCAACCTCAACATCCATGCATAATAATAGTCAGGTGTCTTTACTGTAATCAAAGAGTTTATTGAATTTTTAGTGTTATTTGGTATCATCTTCGATTGATCAACTTGGCTACTTTGGTATCTGTATTTAGATAATAACTTTATATTTAGGTAGACAATTTTAAGACAAAAAGTAGAAATTCACAATGGAGATTATTATTAAATTGTTGGAATTTACCATTTGGAAATCCATACACAGGTTCAATTCCCAACACCTGTATATTGCCTATATTTTCATCATTTTGATGTCATAGACTGTTGATTAATATAATTCACTTGCAACTACTTTAACCACTGAGAATATTCATTTTCATTATTAATACAAATTGCATGTGTCCACATGTACCTGGAAGTAAAATGAAATTAATAATGGAAGTCCTATCTTTCTGCCCTTCTGCCATTGTACCTTGCAAAACTGGGACAATGACTGAGTGCATCTAACTTTTTTAGTCTTTGAAACCACATGTCCACCTCCCAAACCTCTATCTTCATGTGTTTACTTATTTTTGAAATTGTTCTTGACTTCATTTTTGTTTGCCTTTGTTCTGTTAATGGAGTTACCTCCTATTTAAAAAGTGCCTGCTTTTGTGTAAGCTTTTTCCCTTAAGAGCGTGGCAGAAGCTGAAAGGCGGGTCAGAGAGCAGGGCGTGCTCACTACAGCTGGAGTGGGGGTGTAAAAGACTGACTTTGCATTCTCCATGGTTTGCTCAGGTCTTTCCCTGTCCTAAAACACATGACAATTCCCTAAATTTGTCTGTACAAAAAGTCCTGTGTTATTTAATAACAGTTCTCAGTTACGCCTGTTTCATTTGGCTTTGACTTACAATGTTTTTGTCTTATGGAAATGTTTGTTGTTCTCGGCTGGGGAAATTTTGGGTGTTTGAAGAAGCCCTGGAGAAATGGATTAGATGATCTTGCTGAGTCTACTCACACAAATTTTAAAAAGTTCCTCTTGAGATCAACCGTTCAACAAGAAAATTTTCCCTGGAAATAGAAGTCTAGATCAGGGATTCCCCATCTTTTAAAAATAGTTTGGCCTCATGACAATTCCCCATTTCTGCATATAATGTCTTACAGCCTGTATTCATCTCTAAGTGTAAATGCACAAGAATTTTGTTTAAAGGCTTTTTTTTTTGAGAATTTTTGAACCCATTTTTGAAATTACTGGAACCATCAGGGATCCGAGGACAATTGGTTCACTTCCTAGTATCACCATTCCAGCCTAAGATGTTCCTCCCCTAAAGGCAAACTTTTGAGGGTGAGTATGCCCCTGTAGCGGCAGAACTTGACTGTTGAGCCAGGCTGTTGGTGAAGTAGAAATATTTTTTTGCCTCTCGTCCCATAGAACTCTGTTTATATCAGAGGCCAGTGGCAGAGACTCAAGGTTCGATGTATAGTATGAACAAGTACAGAAACTGAATGAATGCTGTATTTTTATGCCTGGTTCCATTTACCACCAGATGGCTCTATTGTATCGTCAGGAAATGCACACATGTAAAATCGGTGGTCTCATAAGCCACAGGGAAAAAAATAAAACAGAAGTTAGACCTTTAAGATATGTAGGAATGCAGTTCGTTCTTTATGGGGTTAATTGGAAGCAGCTGCAGCAGGAGTATTCGCAAGAAAACAGGACGCACCCAGAGAAACTATAGGAAGGTCATCATCCTAGCATGTACAAGGTTTTCCAACTTTTGTATTGCTTTGTAATTACTAAGTATTACAATAGCAAAAGAGTAGCAAGGAAGTGCTCTAGCCTCACAAGGGCCTGTACCTGGTGTTTTCATACCAATTTTGTGTACTCTTCAGCTTGTAGCTGAGGAAAAGTAACTTTAGAAACATTTTGAGTCTGGGCACAGTGGCTCACATCTGTAATCTTTGTGTGGGAGGTGGAGGTGGGCAGATCATGAGGTCAGGAGTTCAAGACTAGCCTGGCCAACATGGTGAAACCACATCTCTACTAAAAATATAAAAATTAGCTGGACGTGGTGGCACGTGCCTGTAATCTTCAGAGGCTGAGACAGGAGAATCGCTTGAACCCAGGAGGTGGAGGTTGCAGTGAGCCAAGATCGTGCCCTTGCACTCGGCCTGGGCAACGAGAGTGAAACTCTGCCTGGAAAAAGAAAAAGAAAAAGAAAAATTTTGAAAGGCAGAGTCTACACATCTGCTAATTTGAGTCATATTAGCCAGGCTCTGGGGAAGAATGATCTGACTCTAAAACATGTGGTATCTTTGCTTCAATGACATGTGCTGAGAAGGTGAAGATGAGAGGAAGCAGGGTTTCTCTGAGTTCAGTTGACTCCGTTCCTACTGTTAGGTGAATGTTAAAAACATAGGCATTCTAGGTGACATCTTCCATCAGGAATGTGAAATTTTAATTTAGAAGAATAAAAGTTTCAAAGTAATCAAATTCCAATGACAGTTATTTAATCTAACTTTCTAAAGCTGTTCATTGTCATCATTTATTTTTTACTCTTTTTACATTCTATGTTTTAAATAAAACTATTGTTAAAACATTTTGCCGTTTTATTTCCTTGTTAAGAAAAGGGGAGGATTTGTGTGAGTTTATCAAGCCTGTCATTAGTCCATAAGATTGTTTGAGATGTGCTCAAACGATCCCTGTCAAAAAGTAATAATTGATTTTTTTTTTAAAGAAAGTGTCCCTGGATACTGGACAGATGGCGTTTACCTTGGCCCAACTTGAGTCATTGGAGACTTGTCTGAAAGACGCAGAAGAAAAGGCTAAAGCTTTATCTGAACAGGTAACACCTGTTATGGGAACTGGAAACAAATGTTCCTCAGTGTGCAGCATGGCAAGTGTAAATGTAAACACATGTTTTAACCTCTGCCTCTACTGATACACACACACATACACACACATACACATTGCAGTTATGCACACACACACGCACACAGCATTCCATTCATTTTAGACGTAACAGTGCCTACTTTAGTCTGTATGGAACTTTTCGGTCTTTAAAACTTTTTTCATCTTTGTATTTTATTTGACTTTCATTCACCACAGGCCATGAGTTAGGCAAACCTTCTTTAACTAAATGGTTTTCCTGAATAAGCAAAGCATATTTGCATTATAAATAGATAAGCTCAAAGATAAAATAAAGCCTACTGGAGTCATGCAGAAGTAATTTTCTTTTATTTTTAGGAAACTGTACTTAGAAGAGAGTTTTTCAAATATTGACATCCCTCTTAGGTTTTTGAAACTTACAGAAGCAAAGCAGCAGATGATAAGTGGAGCCTGGCCTGCACCAGGTGGCCTGGACACCTTAGAGTGCTTTGCATGTACAGCAGGTCCATGATTTCAGAGGCAGTAAACCAGCTTTACTAGTATCAGTAAAGCTCAGACCAGGGCTGGAACATTTCCCAATAAGATTATACTTTGCAAATAGTGCAACTATTGTTGCCTTTCCCCCGGTCAGAGAGACTTGGCCCCAGAGGACAAACTGCTTGGAGTCTGGGTCCCCCAGTGCTCTCTTTTGGTGACAGTCAGTGAAGGGAAAAGGATGGAGGAGGCCCTGCAATGTTAGAAATGTTCATTAATTTCTCCTGGATTGATATGTTTAGATAAAAGTATATTTTAGATACTTTGGAGAAAAATAATTTTAAGGTACTTTTAATAAAGGCAGTCTCTCTGTACAGTAAAAGCTAATTGCATCAGAATTTTAGCGGAAACTAAGGAGGAAAAGTGCCTTGTGTTATGAGAAAAAGTATAATTAATATATAATTTAGTGATACACACACAAATGCCCTTCATTTCTTTCTCAGCTTACCAAAAAAGGTGCATCCCTTACTTTGGCATGTATTTATTGTTTACTGACTAAATGCGATTGATGCAAGGGGTCACAGGGGAGTTGTGTCAGCTAATAAAAATGTGCTACCCTTTTGGAAAAGTTTCCATCTCAGCCTCAAGCCATAGCTCTAGCCTGCCAACTGTTTTTTTTTTTTTTCTAAAACAAACAGAAACAAGCCTTGAACTGTGGCAAAATTAAGAATTACCAAGAATATAATGATAAACATGAGGTACCATTTCAAAGCAAAACAAACAAACAAAACGACAAAAACAACAAAATAACCTAAGAATTTCAGAGTCTCCAAATTGGGAAGGATTTTTCAGTGGATAACTAAAAAGGGGCACCCCTGCTGGGATTAGGTTACACTAAGAAGGTATATGGGATTTTTTTGGTAATCAAATGACTTTTAATGATTTCTCGTTTGAATCAGTAAGATTCAATTCACTCATAAGAGTACCGATTCCTGCACTTTGGGAGGCCGAGGCGGGTGGATCACGAGGTCAGGAGATCAAGACCATCCTGGCTAACATGGTGAAAACCCCGTTTCTACTAAAAATACAAAAAAATTAGCAGGGCATGGTGGCGGGTGCTGAGGCAGGAGAATGGCATAAACCCGGGAGGCGGAACATCCAGCGAGCTGAGATCACGCCACTGCACTCCAGCCTGGGCAACAGAGCGAGACTCCGTCTCAAAGAAAAAAAAAAAGTACCCATTCCTTTGGTTCTTAATGAAATATTTTTATTTTATCCAATGCAGATGTAACCACCCAGTGGGTTCACCTTGCCCGCTGCCTAGACAGAATCGATTTATCAAGACAGGGAAATTACAGTGGAGAAAGAGGAAATCACAGAGCCACAGAGTTGGCTGTGCAGGAGACCGGGGTTTTATTATTACTCAAATCAGTCTCCCTGAGCATTCAGGGATCAGAGCTTCTAAAGATAATTTGACGGAGAGGCACCCGGAAAGTGGGGAGTGCTGGTTGGTCAGGTTGGAGATGGAATCATAGTGGGTGGAAGTTAGGTTTGCTTAATGTCTTCTGTTCCTGGGTGTGATGGCAGAACTGGTTGGGCTGGGTGGTGTCAGCTGATCCATCAAGTGCAGGGTCTGCAAAACATCTGAAGCACTGATCTTAAACTTTACAACAGTGATGTTATCCCCAGGAGCAATTTGGAGAGGTTCAGACTCTCAGAGCCACAGGCTGCATGACCCCTCAATTGTAATTTCTAATTTTGTAGCTAATTTGGTAGTTCTGCAGGGGCAGATTGGACCTCAGGCAAGAGCAGGGTCTTTGGGAAAAGGCTGTTATCAATTTTGTTTCAGAGTCAAACCATGAACTGAATTCCTTCCCACAGATAGTTCGGCCTATGCCTAGGAATGAACAAGGACAGCTTAAGTGTTAGAAGCAAGATAGAGTCGGTTAGGTCTTATTTCTTTCACTGTCATAATTTCCTCAGTTATAATTTACAAAGGCGGTTTCACAGATAGCTCCTAATATTTAAGATTCTTTGCTGGATGATCTCTTTGTATAACACCAAACAATTAGATGTATTCATTTTTTCAGTAATATAGCAGATTAAATATATAAAATGGAAACTGGATTTCACAACCTTTTTGTACCTACCATAAGTAAGATGCTGGTTAGGTGTTTTGCAGGAAAGACATATAAGTCAGAGCTTCTCTATCCAAGTAGCTCACAGACAATAGAAAAATTGGAAGATATGAAGAATGAAAATAGGTGTTTATATGACTCCAAGATAAACTGCACAATAGCATTAAGTTGCAGGATCTGTATGTGTTAATTGTACTAAAGCGTTTTTCTTGAAGTTGCCAAATTTGCATAACCAAGTGAGTTTAATTGGAAGTTGGCCATGGTTTGAGGAAAGGGAGAGTATGATATGTAAAGCACATTGCAGGCATTTTCGATATTATATTTTTAATTAACTTGAGCATTTTATGAGATTTGGCTGTCTTCATTGTTACTGTTGAGAGGAGTCAATCAACACTGTTGTCACAGGATTTAATCCTAAAATTTTTGCTTTCTCCAGTGTTTGAGTCTAGTCTTTTCCTTGAAAAGATAAAAACTTTAAGAACAGTCCTCTGTCCCCTTTTTAAAAATTTAAGTCGACATTAAAAACATGGATGAGAGGATAGGGAAAGGGAAGAACCTGATATTTCCTAAGAAAGTTCTTGAGAATATTTCAGAATGGAACACCTGTCTCAAACAATCAAACATTTGTCCACTGGGTGCCACTGTCTTCCTTACCAGGTCATGCCACTAAGCGATTACAGAAAGATTGCCTTTAGTGTTAAAGACAATGATTACACACACACGCATACACACACACTCTCTCAATCCGTGTGTGTGTGCGTGTGTGTGTGTGTTGAAGGAATATTTTTGCCTACTATACATGTTAAGGCTTCTTCTAAATGTCGTTAATTTAGGATTTGTCACAAGGATGTTGGGAATGCTACCTTGCCTTTACTGGTAACCCAAATTATGGGCTGTCCCAGTGGAGTAGAATGAGGTGAGGAGTGTGGAAGAAACAAGAAGAACCAAGATTTGTGCTAGAAGGAAGCAGTGGAAGCTTGCAGTATTATCAAACAATGGGTCCTGCCTTTGAGAAAATGGTTAATCTCACTGTTATTCAAGACCTTATCTCTTAGCTTTGCCTCTGAGAACATAGAATTAACTCAGAATGGAAAGTATAGGTGCCTAGGGTTGTTTCCTACATTAATCATCTGTTGATCCGGGGCCTCGGTTTATGCAAACTGGACATTTCTAAGGACTCCTTCAGCAAGGTCCACTGTTACAAAGAAAAAAATAGAAATAGGCAACAAACAAGAAGGTTGTGGCCACTTCCTCCGATGAGGTCACACAGTCAATAGAATTCTTTGTTGGGCTTCACTTTAGCTTACAATTATTCTTTATTTCTCTGCAGTCAAGTCACTAATGTCAAAATAAAAGAAACATGAAATTAGAATAATTTGCAATTAAGACTTATCATCTGGGTTAGTCAAGACTTTGAGAAATAACTGACTGCAGCAATTCAGCCAAAGTAGAGTCAGAAAGTGTCATTAGGCCCCAACTTCTAACCTGGATTATAACGATAAATCACTCAACATATTACCAAGTCTTGCTTAAGAAAATACTTTATTATATTTCCCATAGGTTAAGATCAGGTGGGAGGAAAACTAAATGCCTGGATGTTGGGTAATAGATAAAGAAAAAGGGTGAATAAGAAAGGGAGAAAAGCTGTTAGGAATGTGAAAGAAAGATGAGAAGTAAAGGGTTTCTAGAGAAGCCCATTAAAAAAAGGCTTTTCATGTGTGCTGGCTTCTATCACCAGTGAATATAGGAGGACAATGAAAAGGACTCTGGTGGACTGCTGTTTATAACCATACACAAGCAAATAGACCATACAGCTTTTGTGTTGAGACAAAAGAAAGTGTCAAGAAAACCCATACTTTTGCAATGAAGCCTGAATCCAGATGCACGCCAATGTAGAGTTTATGAGGCAACATTCCCTTTGGCAGCAGTGTTAGCCCAGAGTCTCTTTCATTTATTGATGGCTTCTGGTTCCCAGCTCCAGGTATCAGATCAGGGAGAGCCCCGGCTTTGTTCCTGTTCCACTATTTGCTAGCTTTATGGCCTTGGGCAATTCACTTTGTCTCCCCAGCTACAGTTGTCTTATCTAGGAGGGTGTAAACATGTTAGTTTCATAGCGCTGTCGTGAGGATTAAATGGGATAGGTATTGGTCCTTCTGTCCCTTTGTAGGTGTTATGGATGAATGTTTCTGTCCCCCCATCAAAAAGAACAAATTCATATGTTGAAACCTAATCCTCAATATGATAGTTTGTGGTGGTGGGATCTTTGGTAGATGGTAAGTTCTTGAGAGCACTAACTCAGGAATGGGACTAGTGTCCTTATAAAAGAGGCTCAAGGGAACTTCCT